AGCTCCCTAAACCAACACATTAAGCAAACTTTAAAAACTGGGTTCCTATTACAAAGCAGCGCCCAGGACTAACTGCTTTAAAATTACTGCATAATTAGATTTAGTTGAATTTCACCATTAATTAGGCAGCCGCACTGCGGGGAGCCTTTGAAATCTGAGAAAATGGGAAAAATCATCTGAAGCACGTTTTTTAAACCCAACTTCAATAAATCCTGACAAGGCCTGCATTTCTCCGTGTATCTCTTTCCATTCTACAAAGCAAAGCGAAGCGAGCGCGATCCCCAGGACCCACTAAAGTTTTAATTAAAAAAAAAAAAAAAAAAAAAAAAAAGAGAGAGAGAGAGAAAGAAATAAAAATAAAACCCATCTCCATTCCCACATCCCGCTCGTTATCAGCGGCGGTAACGGAGCGCCTCGAAACATCCTTGCCTTTTCCTAGCTATACCTCTTTCTTTCCCCCCCTTTTCTTCTTTTATTTTTTTTTTTCTCCATTCCCCCCATCCTTTTCTCGGCCCGTCCCGAGGATGCCGCGCTCCCTGCGGGCGCACACCCCGCTATCCCACCCGGGGTCGGTGTGACCCCGCTGCACCGCGCCGCGCTCGCACGGGGGAGATGCTTCCACAGGTCATTGACATGCGGATGGGATACGGGCTCCGGGGGAAGCGCCGCCCGCGGCCCCGCGGCCCCGGCCTGGCCGTGCTGCCCGAGCGCTGCGCGGGCGCGGACGGGGCCGCGGGGCCCCCCCCGGCTGCGCGGGCCGAGCGCCGGGCCCGGGGCCGCCATGTTGGCTGAGCGCAGCCGCCGCGCACTTTCCCACGCGTCTCCCCCGCGCCCGCGCAGCGCTGAGCGCGCCCGCCCTCCCTCCCTACCCCCCCTTTCCCCCAAAACCGCTGCTCCTCCAAACCTCCAAAAAAAAAAAAAAAAAAAAAAACCAAAACCCCAAAAAAACAAAAACAAAAACGCAACCTCCAAAAAAAGCCTCCCACCGGGCCGGCCAGGCCGCTGGCGGCGCGCAGAGCCCCGCGCACGGCCCCCGCGGGCGCGCACGGATAGGCGCAGTTCCGCACGGACACACGCGCAGTTCCGCGCACTTACACGCGCTCATTCACACACACGCACCGGCACACACTCACACCAGGGGCTGGCACCGCCCGCCCGGCGCCTCCTCCGGCCCCAGCCCCCGCTTTTGTCTGAACTTGGGGAGCCGCCTCCGCCCGCGCCCCCTCCGCGCCCCGCGGCGGGGCCGGGGGAGGTTTGGGAGAGCGGCGGCGGGGAGGGGAGAGCAGAGCGGAGGAGGAGGAGGAGGAGGAGGAAGAAGGGGAAGGGGGGGGTGAAGAAGACCTTTCCCGAGCTGTGGGTTGCACCGCGGGCGGCTCCGCAGCTCTCGCTGTCGTTCCGGGTCGCCTTTGGGTCTTTCCCCGCCAGTCCCGGTGGCAGGGGTGGGGGGGAAGGAATAGAGCGAGCTAAGATCAGATTAAAGCAGAAAATATAATAAAGGGGAGGGTTGGCAAGGGGGGAACCGCAAGGAAAATAATAAATTAGACACTTAGAGGGAAAGAGTCGCCATGTTTAACAGCTTTTTTTTTTTTTTTTTTTTTTTTAAAAAAAAAAAAAAAAAAAAAAAAGAAGGGATCTCCTCAATTCAACATAGAACAAGCTTCTCGATCCCAACCCTCCTCTTTTGTCCAATTCAATCTTTGGATAGATCTTTTGTTCTAACTCAGCATGAAAAGAAAAACTTTCTTTAAATGCTATAAACTTAAAACTAACTGAAGTCCCTAAACAAATCCTCCTCTGAGCATTCCAAACATATATACACGGGGCTTGTGTGTGTGCATGCGTGTGTGTGTGTGTGTGTGTTTTTATTTAACCCTGGTGCATTTTCTGTTTACTATTATTCTCTGTGAACCAAAGCTCGCTGCAAGAAACTTATAAATACAGAGATAGCTTACAGGCTTTAAAACATAAAAAGCAGAGAATGTTTTGGATTTGAAAATCATAAATTATAATTTAATGCCAATAACAATTTACAACAAATGGTTGTTTACAATAAACTAACACAAAACAAACAAGTCAAGATCCTGTGTTCTTAGTAAGCATAAAAACTTCACACACACACACTCACATGGATAGCACTTGCAATAGAAAAAGCTAAATCTAGAGGTCAGCAATTCCCCTGCAATAATAGTATATTTATATATTTATATATATTTATATATTTATAGAAAAGGAGCCATGATTCAGATGTAAAACTCTGCTCAAATTCACAGTCATACGCCCCTCAGCCCCCAGTACAGATGTGTCTAACTGGAACACACTAAAGATCAGGGTTTAATCGACTTTACAGAATGATCTCTCTCCCTCCCTCTCTCTCTTTTTGTGAAACCACAACATGGTGTAGTTACGTGTGGTAAAAAGGGAGAGGGGGAAGCCTCAGACAAGAACAAAATTGCAAGCTTTCACATACAAAGCATCTGCTATAGACCAAGGGGAGGGCGGGCGGGGGGAGAGAGAAAGAAAAGAAAAAAAAAATAAATGACACGCACACACACGAAATAAAATATCAACCCCTTGCAAAAAACCACATCATCTTGCCTTCCTTCAGGTTTGGGTTGGGTTATTTTGTGGGTTTGTTGCTGTTTTTTTTTTTTTTTTGCCTGCTCGGGATAGCACTCAGCTCCCCAGTGGGGTGTCCGGTCCTGTGCCACCCGCCCAGGCAGGTCCCACTCCCGTGCCAGGGCTGCAGGAGAGGGCCCTGAGCCTCCACAGGGGACAGCCAGGGACGCCCACGCGTGTCTGTGTGCCAGCATACACACAGACATATAGCCCATATGCAAAAGAGAGAGATGACCTGTGGTCATGCTTTCACAGTCTAAGGTAAAAAAAAAAAAAAAAAAAAAAAAGAAATCCACTTGAGAGTATATATACATTAAAAACCGACTCCTCAGTGCTAGAAGCTAAAGCCACTCCATTTGAAGACCTCTCAATGACAACGATAGATGGCAACTACGGAGTATTATAAAAAATCACACATACTTAAAGAAAACTCATTGCAAACAACTGACCTATATTTACAATACTGCTATTACCTTGCTTGAATGATCTTGTGCGCGTATGTCAGACATTTACAAAAGATTTTTCGCCCCATTCTGATCATAAAATAGATACTGATCTCCAGATTTCTAATACTTTTTCACAACAATACCTTTCCTACGCAGGCACTTAAGTGTGACAAAAATAAGGGCCTTTTTTTTTTTTTTTTTTCCAGAAAATCCATTTTTAATTAACAGGAGGATTAGATGAGTGGGGGTTGATGGTTTACCATTTCAGCATAGTACTTCCTAAAACCAGAGATAAACCACGAACTTAAGTCCTCCACCCCCATCCCGGAATTAAACAGGTAAATACACTACAATACATCTGCTACAAACTTACTGTGACAAGTAAACAAATCAATCGCCTATGGACTTAAATGACTGCAAACTATAGAGAAGTAATGTGGTTTCTGAAAGACATTTATGACAGCCAAACAAGTTTCAGATATCAAATAATATTTTAATTTCTGAATACTTTCAATTTTCCTTGGAATATAACACACAAAGACTCGACCAAACAGTTCAGTTATTATAACTTTTACAGTATACAGAAATGTTGCACTTAAAAAAAAAAAACCTTCAGTTTTTTTAAACACAAAACTGTAAACTCTAAGATACTGAATCAATCACGTTATCTATAAGTGCCAACAGTGTTATTTTGTCATGCTGATTTCAATGGTATTTTTTAAAAAGGGAAAATATCAACAATTATTATAATACAAAGGGCTTGCAAATATACAAACAGATAGAGGAGTTTAATAACAATTCATGATGAACTATGTGGAACCCAATTCAAATTACAAAAGTTCACTTTGCTCGTTTGCTTGTTTTTTTGTTTTTTTTTTTTTTAAATCAAAACCGTAGTGTGTCTTGGACACAAAATCCTTCTACCTATAATAAATCCCCACAGTTCATTTTCTGTCCGAAATATCAAAAAACCTAGATTTGGGGGGAGTTATATGACACGTGTGGTTCATTCGGGTCTATATAATTATAGCTCTCTCAGCTTCAAGCTAGATTTTGGGTCACCACCTTAAGTGCGCTTCCATCATTGTGTTGTTGAGGGGTTTTTTTTTTTTCTCTTTTCCTTTCTTCCTATGATACTTTCGTGGACTCAGTTTTAATTCTTTCAGAACATATATTTTAAGGATACACAGTTTATTTTTTTTTTAAAGAAGCCAAGGTTATATCAAAAATTATTATAGAACCACAGAATAAACTGGTTTGAAACCAGAAAAATACAAAAAAGAACAGCTATAGGTACATAGACACATAGGACAATTAATAATTTGGAAAAAAAAGACTTACTTTCTTCCGTTCTGCTAATTTACTCCAAATTTCCTTTAAATGCACTTTAAGCGAGATTTTTTAAAAAGTTTACCCCAAAAAAAAAGAAAAAAAAAAGAAGAAAAAAGAAAAAAAGAAAAAGCCCACCATCATTTCTTTTCTTCTTCTTTCTTTTTTTCTTTCCCTCTTTTTTATTTTTTTACAAAAAAAATGATAAGTAGCAAGTTTTTTTCTGAACGACACGGGAGTTTTTAATGCATTCTGTAAAAGTTCATTTGACAGTCTCTTTTTTTAAATTCACAGTCCATTATTTTTTTCCTGTCTTCTCTTAGCAAACTTGTAACATCCTTTTACATCCTTTCTTAGCAGAAGGAAATTTAAGAAACAACCAGAACCCAAATGTCATTTGCTTTCCTTTCACTCTCATCTCCCTTCTCAATTTCGAATTTTTTTTTTTTAATTTTTGTCTTTTTTTTTTTTTTTCTCTCTCTCTCGAATGTTTTATTGAATGGACATGTAAGGCCAGTTAAAACTGCTGCCAGACAGTAACATATCCCTGATTAGGGTTTCTATGGGGGTTTTACCTACCAAACGGACGAAAAACAATTGCTCTATGACAGAAGAGGAGACAGTGCGAAGGGAGGGGAGACGTAGTAATAGCTTCCCGAATCGTGTTGGCTGGTTGGGATACTGGCTCCTAACATACTCTTCCAAAGCACACTGTGACTTCTCCTGTAAACTTTCAACATGGGCTACATCAGAGAGACCACAGGCATCTAGAAGAAAGTGTATTAAAAAAAAAAAAAAAAAAAAAAAAAAAAAAAAAAAAAAAAAAAAAAGAAAGCAATCATCAGATTAAAAAGGTTTTGGTGGATTGTGTTTTTAAAAAAATTTTAATTTGATTTTTTTCTTTTTTTTTTTAATGTCTAGGTTTAAGAGTCGATCGTGCGCCATCACCTCGCCCCCCAGAGTTTAAGTGGGTTTTACCAAAAGGGACAATCTCTCTGTGCATGTGTGCGTGTTTGTATTTCTCTCTCTTCTAGAGGGTCTCCTTTAGGACTGAGCACAGCTCCCAGAGTCGAGATTTCTAATGGCACGACAACCTGAGGGGTTGGCAAGGAGCTGCTGGCCAAGGCTAATTTCATATATCTGTATTTTTTGGGGGAAAGGCTGGGGGGGCGGGGAAGGCTTGAGTCAAAAGGGGGGAAAGGGAGCCACTATTTCTCCACACCACCCCTCCTTGGAAAATAATTGGGGAGAGCCTAACCCTGAGATGAGAAGGAATACTACTCATAGTGATAGAAATCATAATAATAATAAAAAACTGGCCCAGCCAAAGATAATGGCGCCCCGGATCCAGCAACAGATTCTCCCCCAAAGAAGACAACGCGTTTTTCTTCAGTCTTTGAAACTGATTTAAGTGGCCCTTTAAAACTGATCTTGTCAGTTTAGCCTATTCAGAGGCAGCCATGCAAACTGTGATCTCTCTGTTCATTTGAGCTGTTTCTTTTCCCCCCTCTTTTCTTTTCTCTTTCTTTCTTCCCCCCCCTCCACTCCCCCCTCTTTTTTTTTTCCTCTTCTTCTTCTTTTTAAACCTAAAGGCCCTTACAAGAAGAAAACTCCCTGATAGGGTCTGGACATTTTTTTCTCTTTTTTTTTTTTTTTTTTTTTTTCCTGATACGCTAAAATACAATAAGTTCCCTTTAAATCAGAGACGTCTGTGCTGAAAGAGCACAGGTTGTGACCTGACCTCCCTGTGGCTTTCCTAGGCACAGGGCTAACACATGCATATTCTGCGAGTCATTAGAACCCAGATTTTTCCCCCCTCCCTCTTAAAAGAGGCTGCAGCAAACATTATATGCATCTATGTGCGTCTGCTTTACATCAGGGAGGGTTATTGGGGTGCTGCAGAAGCTGCAAGCATCACCCTATATTTTTTTGCATGCGGCTGTCTTCCCCAGAATCAGATAACAAGAAACGTTTATCTAGTTGGGAGGCAATTTACACGCCAGGCCTCCCATTTTGAAAATAGTCATAAATTAAACAGTTACGACAGGATCGGACGATTGTTTTCTCAGAAGGCTCAAAAAAAAAAAAAAGTGATTTGGGAGAAAAGGCAGGATTGGAAATAAACTCCTTGGTGTGGGTGTGAGCTGGGCAGGGGCTGGGGAGGGATGTGAGCGTGTGTGGGATCCTCGCTGAGCGGCTGAGCGAGGGAGAGGAAAATGCATCCTAGAAAAACGATAGAAAAATAAAATAAGCACCCCACGGACACCCCTTCCCACTCGGGATCCCTGTCTCCCTATGGCTAACAGCACCCTGCTCATTGATCACCTTAGGATTTAGCACGAGTAATTTGGGGGGGGTGGAGGAAAAAAAAAAGGAGAAGTTTTTTATGTGTAAAGCAATAATATATAAAAGGAAGTTTAGGTCACGACCCAGAACCTGGACAAAGTCCAGAAAATGACTTCGTTCCCCAGACCCCCTTTAACACAACAAGGAATGGATTGTGAGCCCTTCTTTTCCCACATAAACTACATTTTTTTCCTGTTTCCTGATATCAGGCTTTAAAAAACTCTGATGAGTAATTATTTTGCAGGTCCTGCTTCCATTCATATGTTTATCGCGTGGCCACTTTCCCAAGCGTCCAAATGAGTTACAGGCGAAATATATGTATTTTTAAATTTAATCCCCAAACTTCGAGGGCTCCAGCACACTGGCTTGCCGGTGCAGCCTCAAAGTTAGTGATCTGAGATAACGTATTGCACAAATTAGCGAGCAGATTTTTTTTCCCCCTCAGAAGAAAAAAAAAAAAATTTAGCCTCCAGAGTTAATATCAGGATTATTACTCACCCAGGTTAAACTCTAGTGCAAGCTAATTAGATTTCACAACGCACTCAATTATTGCTTTATAACTCATGCACTATTTCTAGGCAGCAAAAGTTGACACATATTTCCCCCCCCCCCCCCCCTCTTTGATTATCTAAGAAACACCTCGAGGTCTTTTCCTCGGGAGAGTCATGGTTGTGCCACCCCGGAATTACACTGCGGAGCGGCAGCTTCAGCCTCCTCTTACTTTTCCATACTATCCCTGTCTACTTATGGTAATGATCTTTTCGCACCCGCTACTCGCTTTGGACTATGCAGTTCCTGCTGGGTACAAATGCAAACTTTTCCCCTTAGCTTAAATGACACAGAACTGCTCACTGCCACATTCTGTTTAAATCAGAGACAGCTCTTTGCAAAGTTGATTTATTTTATTTTATGAGATGGCAGGGAACATATTTTAAACTCAGATTTGCGCATTTAACTTTTTTTTTTTAATTCAATTTTTAATCCTGCAGGGCTTTTTTCCCTTCCTGGCTGCCCATAAAATGATCCTCTTTTTAAAGTGATTTCACTGATAGGACGACTTGTATTTAACAACATCAAACAGATTTTGCTGCTGTTCGGATGCGTGTCATTAAATGCAACAACCCAGAGCTATACTGTTAAATAAAATATTATTTTCAATGGGAAGAGCGCAGTCTCTCGTGGCGAATGGGTGCCTCTTCCCGGGCCCCTTCTTTCCCAGTCCCCAGCATTATTCAGCTAGGGTTGGGGTGTATTTTGGCTGTCTGTTTTTTTTTTTCCTTCAAAATAAAATAAAATTATGTGTGTGTGTATTTTATTTTTATTTTATCTTTTTCTGATTTGCACTCCCTGGAAGATGGGATGCTCGGATCCGAGGCCCTGAAGGGGAAAGCACAGGGCATCGCTTCCTAAAAGGAAAAGAGACCGCGCTGGTTCTCGGGGGGCAGGGAGCAGGGATGGGGTGCAGGCAATAACACTTTGCAAGAGCAAACAGTTCTCAAGAGGGGCCTGGGGAAGGAGGGAAAAAAAAAAAAAAAAAAAAAGGAGCAAAGAAACACAGCCTACCTGAGGTGAAGAGGACTATGGCCTTTAAACAGCTATATTCTGCAGAGTCGACATGCAATGCTTTCAGTTTTTCTACTTGCTCTTGGAAGATTCGTATGTGGTCCATAAAGGCGACCACTCGGTCAGCAGACATTGGCGAAGCGTGCAGGCCAGCAGCTGCCAGGAGCGGAGCTACGTGGAGGGGCATGGAGCACTGGGCAGCGTTGAGGACAAATAACTCGCTCCAGGTCAGCCTCAGGAGGGCCACCTGGTCTGTGATCTGGAGGTCTGGGAAGAAGGGGATATTCCTGGCCCACTCCACCGCGCTGAAGAGCATCCTAGCTGCCAGTTCACAAATGTTCTCGATGCCCATGATGTTGTTGGGTTGCATGCACTGACTGCCAAAGCGGGAGGTGGGGTAGGGCTCTGCTCTCAGAAGAAGGGAGATATATCCGGATAGGTAGGAATGGCAGTTGAGAGGGTCCCCATTTGTCAAGGCGAACTGACCATGAGTTGGCTGTGTGGGTGGCATTCTGCCCCTCTGGACCGCTGCAGTAAATAAAGAAGAAACTACAGCTATTAATATCTGAATTGCGACCATCGGTTCAAATACAGCCTGCTTTGTGTGCTTGTGCGTGCCTGTGTGACCCCGGACCCGGCCAGCTTCAGGGGGAACATGCATTTTCCCAGCCAGAGTTCAGCCCCAGCCCGGCTCTAAGGCTCCGCAGTTCTCGGGTCAAGTCAAAGCAACAATAAAAGCTGAGGGACGCTGTGGGCTCGGCCGGGGCTGCTGCGGGAGCCCAGCTCCTCACTACCCAAAACACACCACAGTCCAGTTATCCCCCCGCTCCCCTCCACCGCCACCCCCTCCTTCAAGAGATGCAGGATACGTCTTTGTGTGCTTTTTCTCCATTACACCTAAAACAGCTCATTGATTTGAGGCTGGGGGAGCGGGATGGGGAAGGAGGAGGGGAGAAGGAAGAAACACTTCAGTTCGAAATCCCCGGCTCTGGTCCCACACGCGTTTGTCGCCCACTGAATACATTGTTGCTGCTGGTATTATATATCACCCCCTCTCGTAAAAAATACCAAAGGAGGCAAAATCACCCCACGACATCCCCGGCAGGTCCCCTGGTGAGGCTGAGGGCATTATCCAAAGGCACCTTCCCTCGCTGCCCATGGAAAGTGGGCCTTTCATTTTGTTAATAAATTTACACGGTGACAGCGAGAGAAAAAGGAGAGAGAAAAAGGGCTCAGAGGCAGAGAGACGACAAGAAGGGAGAACGCCTAAAAATGTGCTTGATTTATGTTTGTTATCGCCTGTATTCCAAGGTTAGTTACTCTTGCAGAAACACAAAGAGAGGAGCCCGGCGAGTCCCAAGCCCCCTCACCCTTAACCTACATAGCAGCGTCCAGACACAGAGCACGCACTGGAAAACTGCAGGCTCACATTTCCCGTCTAATTTTATATCACAAAGACTCCACTTGCAGAGATCCGAGCACCCCACACTTACTTCTGGACTGCTCCTTGCACCCCCCACCCCATCCCTTCTACCCCCTCCTGCCTCTCCCGGAGGAACAAGAAAATAAGAGGAAGAAGAGAAAAGTAAGGTAATAACAACCAGGAAAGGCAGGCACACGGCAGTGTGTATGTACACACACACACGCGTGGAGATATGTGTGTGTGTATATATATTTTTAAAGGAGGAAAAATCCGGCTGGGAATCCACAGTGGAGTGCTGTAGAGCCTCGGTAGGGTGAGTCCCATTGTAATAGTAATTTGAACCGCCTGTGTAAAATTGCAATCTAAGGCAGGGTGCTGGAGGATATATATATATATATGTGTGTGTGTGTGTGTGTGTGTGTGTGTGTGCATCTCGAGAGGCTCCGTGTGTGTGTGTACACACACGCACAGACACACACACACAGGGCTGCTCGGGGGACAGGGGCTAAGGCTGAGCATGCAAGAGGAAACACGAAGGAAAAGTAACCACACGTCAGAATCATCATCTCGCTCCTAAGCAGCGTGAAACTAAAAATCCACTTTCAATAAACCTCCATCAGCAAAATCAAAACAAACACAAATCAATTACGAGTGCAGGAGAAAGCATGCGAGAGCCCCTGCCTCCCTGCCCACCCTTCCCAACACCGCTTTCTTTCATTACGAGAAAGTTTCTGGCTGGTTTATTCGAGGGGGGTGGGTGGGGGGGAAGAAAGGTTCTGGTTGGGTTTGGGGTTTGGAGAGGAAAGTTAAAAATGCTAGGAGTAATTATATATATTATTTAAAAATAATAAAAAAAGGAAAACCAAACAAACCCCAAAACGCAGCGAGTGAAAAAAAAATTGCAAAACAAATGAAATCCCAATACCTTCCCGTCTCATGCCAACTTTGAGGCATTTTTTGAGGCGGCAGTACTGACACTGATTGCGGTGGTGCTGGTCAATGGGACAGTTCCTGTTGGCACGACAAGTGTAGCTGAGATTCCTCCTTACACTCCGCTTGAAGAAACTCTTGCAACCCTCGCAGGTAAACTGGCCATAATGTTTGCCACTAGACTTGTCCCCACAAACCACACATTCAATGTGCTGCTGCTGCTGCTGCTTGTCTCCTTGGTTCTGCTGGCTCGGCGGGTTGGTCTGGGCTGGCGTACTGGGAGGGCCCCCGGGCCCCGGGGTCTGTGGGGTGTGCGGGGCCCCGGCCGGGGGTCCCTGCACCGGCGGGGCTTGCGAAGGCTGCGTTCCCTGAGCTCCGGGCACATCGTCCTGGGGGTCTCGCCACGCACCGACTACCATTGCCATATCTATTGGACACCGTTGCCAAACTTCCTGTTCCCCCTTTATTTTCAAAGTTTGTTTGCTTTGCTTTTCAGATCAGCTTTGCAGCAGTCTTTTTATTTTTTGTCCTCCCCTCTCTCTCTCTCTCTTTCCCTCTCTCTCTTTTGTT